TTTGTTGTGTTATTGCTTCTATTGATAGAAAATTAGTTATTCCTGTTGAAAACTCAATAAACTTTGACAAATTTACGTATTAGCGTGTGAATAACATGTCGTTTAATGACTACGAAATTTTCACTATATGGAACAAATTTTAAATATCCGACCGAATCAATAGAAATCGACAGTACAAATCATTGATGAATAATCAATTGAATGGAACTCGTCACTGTACATCAACTTCCTTGATTATGAGGAAGCGCTTCACAGCGTGGATAGAAGAACCTTATGGAACTTTTTTTGACACTATAGTGTGAGTAGCTGGGAAAATCGTCAACATCACCTCCAAATGTTCTCACATGGCCACTTGCATACAACCACTCCCAGGGAACTCCTACTCACTGCCTTCTCGTTACATTACTGTTGTTTACGATGTACTTTGCGTACAGTAAATTCATAGAAATTAGGCACACAAGTTTGAATCAACTTAAACTACACCTTACATTCACCAACATTTACATAGCTTGACTCTACTGGGCGAATAGTTTTGCGGGTATAGCAATGACTGAAGGCTGTGTGACCTAATCTCTGTAGTAGAAATAGAATTAACAGCGTGCTATGTTATGAACTAGATAAATCTAAAGGAAACCGTTCGTTTTGTTGATTTTTGTCACCCATATTAATTTTAGTCATGAGTACGATTTTAGACGCAACACTTTTCTCTCATATGATCTTGTATAAACCGTTATATATGAAGGCTCTGAATGAAGATATCAACAAACTGTCCAACTTATCCACAATAATGTCAAGCTCTATGTTAATTATGTCCGAATTACCATTTAAGTTAGTTTGGAAATCGTTTATTAGAGTTTTATTAATATCCATTAACTATCCATAATGAAAAAAAAACAATGACCGAAATTCATCACTCTATGTTCATAACGCGAAAAAACTGATAGCATTTTGCTGTAGTTAGAGTCTGCCTGCGAGGCGGATCATTAATCAGTAACTTTATGAATGGATAGCCGATGATTCCAAACCAATGGTGTGTATGGGCTCCAGGATTTTGAGGGAACAAATGGTGTATGAACCAGTTTTTGGTCACTGGCTACCATGTCACTGCATCTCCTGACGTTGCTCCACTGCCTTGTGGATCAGACCTTTATTTCGAAGGCTCCGGGAGTGGCCCCCTAAATAAACCACTTGTTTCGGTCTGGGCTCCCGGACAGTATCACAGCCCACGCACAAATCAAGTGATTTATGTGGTGCATGTGTATTTGTTGCCCCTTTGTACCAATATCTTTATGTTCAAATAAATATATACTAAGATTATTGTCAATATTTCACTTTACTGTATTTAATGATTTAAAAAGTAATGATAATAATATTAATAATAATCCAACTTTCATAATAAATGTGTAAGTTTATGTAGTTAATATTAAGTTGCATACTATTTATACGTAAGCTAACTGCCCTATTGCTATTCAAGTACTTAAAAGTGATGAGTAGAGAAATGAATGGTGTTTTTCAGACTTGTCACTCAATAGTTGAATATTGCGACTGAATTAAAATCAAATTGGTTTAAGTTACAAATCACACTATTCTTCTGGCTGATTTATGCAATTTAGCTGCAAAGCCATTTTCAATTTCACTTCACCTATCTTCAGGAATTATGATTTCGAGAAAAAAGTAGTTGAAACATTGTTTTTAGATTATTAACTCCCAATGACGTAATATTTGTTGTCTTATAACGACTATGTAGTTTGGTTTGTTTATCGACCTAATCTAGTCAGTTTATATTATGAAAAAGATTGCATATTCCATTAGGTTCTCCTATGGGAGGAATTTGCTTGAAGATTCGTTGATGTGCTATAAAAACGTCAGGATGATGTTAGAAAATTAAGGGTTAATAGCTTAAGGGGTATCTGTAGCAAACCAGACTTTACGAACTATGTACTGCGAAAATTGCCTCTAAAAACCTATCATTTATAAGTGAATGACTTAAACGACATTTGTCTAAGTTTCTAATAATTTACTTTATATTTGGTAATGAGCTAAATACTGAATGAACTTAACAGCACACTTCATGTCAAATGATGAATTTCTCTCTTTCATGAACTTATCGTACTGAAAGGCATTAATCATTGAAGTTTGTCATAAACAATATGCTGAACTGTATAAAAATCTTAAATAAAATGACTCGTCTGTATTTGTTTAATTATAATTGATGTATGATAAACATCTTTAGTAATTAGGTTACCTCCTGCAATTACACTTAACTTTTTTTATTTAACCATAAAGTAATCAGATGATTCTGTGTAGTCATGAATTTTCATATTTCATTGTACAAATTGTTGAGATGCATCATATGATATGAAGACGGAAACTAGGTTTATTTTTGTTATTATTTGAATTGAATTTGTGGATCTCCATCAGAGATTTATAATAATGGTGAAGAACAATAGTACTAAGATAATTACTACTGGAAAAATTAGTCTTGCTTCAACGCTAATTCGGAAAAAATTTTATTCACAATCATTCAGTCAGTAACAACGTAGAACTTCGTACGTACGTACATCAGTTCGGGTTGCCACACTATATTAGCATGGACATGCGGTTGTCTATTCAAATCCCGTAGTGGTAGAAGTAGTAAGAATATAAGCTGTAATCAGAAAAGTTAGGGTTTCAAGATGTTATTCAAGGAATATAATCCAGTGAAATAAATTTGGAAAGAGAAAAAAGAAAGGGACATGAAAAATTCAGAAAATTAAAATTTGGGAGAACACAAAGAGTGTATGCACCTGCGCCATTGCAAACGATTTTGAGCCACGTCATTCTAGGTCTCTAACCATCATCTCGCGGTCCCCAACCAGGTAGTCTACACCTACCAACATGACTCAGTCGACTTGTCAGTGACTTTATGGACTTGTGCCATGCTTTGGTCTGACCGCCCCTAGCTTTCTTACAACCTACTCCTATACCATTGAGCATCACACGTCGAGGCAGTCGGTGGTTGGGCATACGTAACACATGTCCCAGCTATCTCAACTGATGAAGTTTCACTACTTCATCAATTGATTTGCCATCCTTACCTAGTACCCGTTTCCTAACAACTGCATTACTTACTCGATGGTCCCATGATATACGAGCAATGTTTCGAAGACACCTATGATCAAATACTAGTAACCTACGAATATCCTCTACTCTTATCAGCCATGTTTCACTGCCATAATGAAGGACGGAACGAACTGCTGCGCAGTAAACCCGTCCTTTGGTTGATAGACGGATATCTCGCCTACGCCATAAATAACGCAATTTGGTAAAAGCTAGTCGAGCCTTCTGTATCCGTGCTGAGATTTCGTCACACGCCAGACCACAAGAGCTGATATTCACAATCATATAACAGTCTTTTATGCTACATCGCTTATGTAGTCCGCTTTATTCTCATTTTCCGTATTTTACTTTTAAACCTATACAGTAGCTCGTCTATGGTAGAAACCCTATCCCATCTAAGCGATCTCAAGTCACTGACTAGTTAAAAGTTGAATGAAACAGTCTTTCCGAAGCCATATATACCATTCAAACTGGCCTCTTTCAACGTTCGCACAATAATGCAGATCGGGCAACAGATGGGGTTGGCTATGCCTTTATAAAGTCTTGATATCGATGTCTGTCGTGTATTCGAGACCCGTGTTCAAGACTAGTGAAGTACAACAAATTTACTCTCAGTCTGTCACCTCGGAAACCATGTTTCACATGCGTTTGTCCGGAGACCCTGTGGTATCCTCATCTCGTTTTTCTTGCGTTAATGTCGCACTAAACGCTAGAGCCGATGCAGCACTGATAGTTTGGTTACTCATTAGTAGTCGGTTGTATGCTGTTAGATTAGAAAGTTCCATCAAATCGAAAAGAAATCGGTGTGAGAAACGATGTCTTTTGTCATCTTTGCCTATGCTCTTATAGATTGCAGCCCAGATGCGATCAATGATGTTTCTGGCTGGCACCAACTACTGGCATGGTCATCGCCGATGTGCTACCTGGCATCCTCCCTCTTCATCTCAAGCCCTTTTCGGATTAAACACATTGCGATCAGCTACCGCTCGCATGGTTGTGTACAAGACTGCTGCTCCTTTTGGAGTACCTATCTGGATTCAGACCATGCCCTTGTTTTCGCCAATCTTACCTTACGTTTCAGTGACCAACAAATTCATCGCCCGTCGTTCTACTCCGGGTGACCCCGAGTTTAATCATAAACGAAGACTGTTAAATGATGAAATTGTGAAAAGTCTGCGTAAAGACCGAGAAGTTTGGTGGCTGAAGCATGCCAATGAGTTGGAAGCAGCAGCTGCATCCGGAAACTTCCGGGAGCTCTTTCAACTAATCCAATCCACTGATAGCGAGAAATTTGGTACGAGGGAAACAATCTGTGAAGATGATGGGATGCCAATCAACAATATCACTAGGGACTCCAACTTCTGAAGCACCACAAATCACCAGGCGTAGATTATATACCTTCATCCCTTTTTATAAAGATAGTGGTGACTTTCTGGTTATGGAACCGATTATGTTGTTTACAGAGGTCTGACAATTACACAATGTTCCGACATCGTGGAATGAGTCGGTAGTTATCATTATCTTTAAAAATTGTCCACGTCGTTTCTGTAACAACTATCAGGGCTATTAGTCTCCTTCCGATTGCGTCCAAACTATGGGCCTCCGTCATACTTCGTAGATTGTTCAAAACCCGAGAAAGATTGACTGGCGAGGAGCAGGCTGGGTTTCGTTCTGGTCGAGGATGTATTGATCATATCTTCACCCTCCGCCAAATGTTAGAACACCGTCATACTTATCACCAGCCAACAATCGTATCCCTGGTTTTTATTATAATATAAACAATTGGTAGCAATTGTCTACTTCTAGTTTTGTTCTTTGATTGAATGAAACAACTCTTGAAATACGTATATTCAGGGTTTTTGAACAGTATAGTCTTCTTCTTCTTCTTCTTGGTAATCTAGCTTACAACAAATGCCGATCTCATGGCTAGTCGTCAATGGAAGTATTATATTGAGACAAATGAATGGACACGTGCTACCTGTGCATTGATGGCATGTTTATTTACTAGAGATCAAATGGCTAATTCAACTGTTTTAGGTCGTGGTGGTTCACAACGTGCCCGTCTTCCAAGCAATCTAGTTGCCTATGTTGTCAGTAAGTTTTTCTCTTGTTATATTTTGTTGTTTATTTTGTAATTGGTTGACTTTTTAATGGCCCTGTAACTGAACTCATTTAGATCGTACGATAATTGTTATCGAAATATACATTCCAACTACCATCGTACATAATTATTGGTTTGATTCACGTTAGGAAATAACAGAATAAAAGAAGTGAGATACGAGGATGAACTTTAAATTTGTATAATTCGCACACTCATTGATCCGGACAGACAATCGGAAAAACCAAGTGAACAAAGCGAAGTGAAAGATGTCATTGGAAAATGGAAAACAAGGTGATGCACAGCCGAGAAGGCGAGCGAGCCAACTCGATTTGACCAAGAGTAACTCAATATTTATAAATAGACTGAAGATAAGTTACAGACACGTGATGAATGGGGTAGGCAATTGACAGACTTAAGATCATATAATAACAGTCAGGTTTAATAAGTGACAAGGTCAAAATGTGGCTTGAGAAGAATGAATAAATTGGTCTTTTCAGATGCTAGAATAACCTATGTTGGCTTGATATAGTACCAGCCTCTACAACTTAATTATTATTCATATCACCAACCGATCAGTGTTGGGCCACGGTTAAAAACCTGAAAGCACTGGATTGTCGTTTCGTCCTAGCATGGGACTTCAGAACACTGCGCATCCACGATCTTACACGCCGGATTCGAACCCAGGACCTTCGGTCTCGCGTGCGAACCCTTAACCTGTAGACCACTGTTATATATATATATATATATATATATATATAAACTTGGAAGTCCTACGTTTTTACTTGATACTAGTTGGAAGTTGTCAGCCATGTCTTATATTCGAGAGACTGATTTAAGAACATCTCTGTCGTAATCATCTTAGTCTGACACAAATATGTTTTGAATCAAGTTGCAACACAACGTTAGTGTGACGGAATAAAATGATTGAGATGAGTAGTGAATGCATCTATACCATCGTGAAAGGTTCTAAGCCATGTCATCCAGTATCTCCAACCATTGACTGTGATTATCAAGTTGATCTCAACCAGTTAGTTTTGACCTACTCACATAGGTCAGTTGACTAGTCAATTACCTCATGAATTTATATCACATATTGTTTTGGTCGGGCAATGGAGGTGTTTACTTCGCCAAAAATCTAATTCTGTTTCATGGTCCACCTAGGCGGTGTGCCTAAAGGACCACCTTCGCTATCCCGTCATTTTAGCCCCCAAATGCTCTGGTACGGTCGAGAGTGGGGAGAGTCCGCTCTCCCTCTCAAAATGCTCTCACATGACCACGCGTATATAGCCTTTGTCAGGGAAGTCCTACTGACTGCCTTCTCGTGGCATCACTGTTGTTTACGCAAATGAGAGGGCGAAAAGCGAATGTCCGGCGCTTTAACTGGATTCCAAACCAATGATGCACATGGGCTCCAATATCCTGAGGGAACAAATGACGTATGAACCAATCGTTATTCACCGGCTTCCATGGGACTGCATCTCCTTACGATGCTCCACTGCCTTGTGGATCAGACCTTCAGGTCGAAGGCTCCGGGTGTGGCCCCCCAGGAAAACCACCTGCTTCAGTTCGGGCACCCGGGCATTATCACAGCACTCACACATATCAGATGAGATTTGTGTGACGCATATGTATTTGGTGCTTCCTTGTACCAATATCTATGTGTTAAAATAAATTAAAATAAATAAATAAATTGTTTTAGTTACACTTAATTTTCTTCCAATTTTCTTCTACATCAATTATAAAATACCTGTCGAAATAGTTAATGATTAAGCATACTTAACATGTATTTCCTAACCACCATAGTCTATTCTCTTAGTTTTAAGACATCTCAAATAATTTACAGATGATCTGTAGCTGACTGACTGACTGACAGATGATCTGTTAGCATATATGATGTTCTTAAAATACTTATACACTCATTACATACAATTCAATTATGATTCCTGAATATTTCTCAGTATATTAGACTATGTAATTTTATCTATCCATACAAAGAATTCAGTAGTTATCTGAAAGTAATTAAATTATTCATTTAAATTAACTTATTAATAAAATCTAATTTAAATAGTTCATTCTTATTGATCACTTTTAAACATTAATTACTTTTTAATAATGATATAAATAATTGTGCATAGTAACAAATAAAGATACGTTTCTATGTAATTGACTAATTCATGTGTCCATTTGTGTAATTATAATTATACCATGATCATTCATTGTTATTTACATTCTTCAAAATTAACATAATTAATTACTTGATTAGGTATGTTACCCCTTGTGAACGAGTATAGGCCTCTCATCAATACTTTCGTCCATCTAACCCTGTCCTGAACAATTCTTTCCAGTTCTTTCTAATTGTTATTCATTCTTTTCTTGTCTACTTCCAATTCTTGACGTAATGTGTTCTTCGGCTTACCTTATTTTCCGTTTCCCTACAGAATTATAAATTAGGGCTTGCCTCATGATGCAGTCTGGTGATTTCCATAATGTACATTGGCATTATTTTACCACTGAAATTCTAGCTGATTTCATGATATTATTTACACAAGGGTTTTTTTTTTAAAGTTTAAATCTGTTGGTCTCTATTCACCAAGGTAGGTACATAGTCCTGACTAAATAAAAATGCATATTCTGTAGTTTATTTAATAAAATAAAACAATAAATTAGTAACTAAATCATACTTTCAACTCATTAGGTTTTAAGTTTGAATCCTACTCCATTTATTTTAATTTAGATAACTGTGTAATGTAACTACCCCCTGTTAACACAAAAAACTTTATGGTTGAAAATTACCAATGTAATTATTATCATCCTGTTTTATATGTATTTAAATAAATAAAGTATTCAACGTTTACACATTATTATATTACCCTCATTTAAGACTAAGCTAATATCTACCGTAATATAATTTTGGCAATCAGTTAATCTTTACAATAACATGCATAAACCTGTATATATTTACTATTATGATGGTGATTATTATTATTTTGTTATTTTTCCAAGTACAAATAAGTATATATGTATTGTCGTCAATATTCTCTTCTATTATTCAATATGTTTTATACTTCTTTCTATATTAGGGATAATATGTATTACTTCTAATGAGATTAACATAATGAAACTTTAATTGGATTCATTCTTGTTCTCATTGTTATTTTGTTTTAATCAACTTTCTTGTATACATTTTAATAACAACAACAACAAAATTTCTATCATTTATGAAAGAATTTAATATTCAATCGATTAGAATATTTGTCTCAGAACTACTAATTTATAAATATCAGTAGTAGTGAACATGTCTGTTGTAAATTAATAATAATAACTTCGTGAATAACTCATTTATATTCAAAGGGTAACCATTTTATCTAAACACATAAACATTGGTACATGGAGGCAGCAAAAAGAGATATGCGCCATATAAATCATTCAATTTGTGTGAGGGCCGGGATACTGCTCGGGTGCCCAAACTGAAACAGGTGGTTTTATTAGAGGGCCACTCCCGGAGCCTTCGACATGAAAGTCTGATCCACAAGGCAGTGGAGCAACGTTTGGAGATGCAGTCCTATAATTCCCAGTAACCAATAATTGGTTCATACTCCATTTGTTCCCTCGGGATACTGTAACCAATGTGCACCAGTGGCTTGGAATCAGGTTTTTCGAATTTCCCTAGGTGGATGCCCAATATCTATACCTTCAATTCGAAAAGCGGCAAACTTTCATTTTGTATATGATTAAGAGGTTTTGGGAGATTAGTTTGAAGATTTACCTTCTTTACTGACTGATATCAAAAACCAAGTGATCATTGGAATCTGGGGACTAATAGATAATTTACTAGTCTTTTAGCGTGATGCTTCTCAATAGTAACTACCGATGACCCATCCATCGGCTCAACTAAGGATTTCAGGTTCAGGAGGAGGCATCTAGTCTTCAACTTATTAATTTGGAATTCGAAGATCCTCATTTTCACCTAGCCATTTAGTGAAAATATTCACTGCCATTAATTGACAAACACCTCACTCTCGACACATTTTTGTGTATTTATATCACTGGTTGTGCTCAGTGTATCCGTTTATTCATCAGGGATAAGATACTATATATATATATATATATATATATATATATATATATATATATATATATGTATATATATATATATATATATATATATATACTTTTGCTTGCTACATTTAATAAGTTTTTATATACTGTTACTATTATTATTATTATTATTATTATTATTATTATTATTACTATTATAAACATTAAGTGTGGTCTAACTTGCGTAAATTTGTATATTCATTATTCCAATAATCTGTTATTGTTGATCTGCAACATTTTTTGCTTGTGTGGAAATTTGGATTCTTGTTGTTGTTGTTGTTGAAAAACCAGATCTTCTATGGTTGTTGTATGTATGATCAAGTACCACTTATATCATATTTTTTTCCAAGTTCTCTGTTTCTGCCTAATTGAATTTTTGTCTCTCCTTCTGATTGATTGTTTTTTATTTTTTCTATTTTCGTAAAATAATAATAGAAGTTTCAATTCATGTACTACTAATAATAATGATAATAATAGACTATAATACTTGTAACTTCTAAATTAACACAGTTTGTTCTCATTAAGGACTACAACAACCATTGAATGATCTCACTGAATTTGAGCTCAAAATAATTAACTGACTGTATGAATTCTTCTTGGAAATATACGTTAGATGGTCAAATGTAATCAGTAGAACCTAAGTTCCATGTTGATTGACACACTATCAGCAAAAGAGTTCTTGCAATTTTGTAGGAACTGATGTTATCTTCAGGATTTCAACTCAACTCATCCAGCTGGCTTCACAGTCTAAGACGTTAACACTGAGCTACTTGTATAGAGATTAGTCTCCGATACAATTGAAATATTTATTATTGATCGATCACTGAGCATTAACCAGTGGAACGTTTGTCTAGTTCTTTTGTCCTGATCTGATTATATCGATAAAGTTGCTATG